TAAATATATAAATATATAAATATATAAATATATAAATATATAAATATATAAATATATAAATATATAAATATATAAATATATAAATATATAAATATATAAATATATAAATATATAAATATATAAATATATAAATATATAAATATATAAATATATAAATATATAAATATATAAATATGTAAATATATAAATATATAAATATGTAAATATATAAATATATAAATATATAAATATATAAATATATAAATATATAAATATATAAATATATAAATATATAAATATATAAATATATAAATATATAAATATATAAATATATAAATATATAAATATATAAATATATAAATATATAAATATATAAATATATAAATATAAATATAAATAGATAAATAGATAAATATATAAATACATAAATATAATTAATATAATTAATTATATTATATTATATTATAATATTTTATTAATTATATAAATTATATTTTCATCTAAATAAAAAAAATAATACTGTTATTACTTATAATATATTAATAGTTATTATTTTTTATCATAACAGTATGTTTTGATATTTTTATAATGTTATAATATGTTAATATTGAAAATTTATTATTGAACCGCTGTAGTATCTCATAATCAACCAGTCATAAATGTCCCGCAAACGCACCAGTTTTTAATCGCTGTACCAGTCGTACANTTAATATTGAAAATTTATTATTGAACCGCTGTAGTATCTCATAATCAACCAGTCATAAATGTCCCGCAAACGCACCAGTTTTTAATCGCTGTACCAGTCGTACAAATCGCCTAATAACGCTAGAAACCGCAACCACCCACATCCGCAAACTCCCGCAACCGCAATCGCAACCGCCGCGTTTCAACCAGTCAGACCCTTAGAAACATAGAAACGCCGAATGAAAAATATTCCGAAGATTCCTTTTTATCAAACATTTCTCGTGTAAAGTTATAAGATTATTGAGGGTTTGATTATTTTGCAACTGGAGAACAATTATTTTATTTTCGACCGACCAGTGAGTACAATTATTAAAATATCTTCCTCGTACAACGTATGATTAGAATTTAGACCAGAAAAGTGGATATACGGAGAGAAAAAACTGAAGCACGTGCGGATTACGTTTGGTGTCGAGCATTGACTGTAAACCTACTCATAAGAGGGATGTGAGGTCACGTGCCAAACGACCTTTACCGGTCACCAACGGCACGCGTAGCACTCACGCTTGGCGACCCAATTCTCTCTCGTAGCCAATCTAAATTAATTAAATATCTTTTTTTGACAACAATTAAAATATCTTTTAAACACGCGTGATGTAGGTCCCATCTACCCAAAGTAAACCGAAACAAAATCAAATAACCGATTTGGATATTTATACAATTCAAAATTCAAATTGGTAAATATCCTCCTATATCTACTCAACTGATTGAAGCACTAAAGGAATGTTTTAATATATAACGTATCGTTTGAAAGGTGAAATGATTATAGAAAGTATTAAATGTAGGATTGTTAACCGGGTTATCCGGTTAAATAAAACCGGGATATCTGGAACCGTGTGAAGCTGAGAAGAAGGAAAGAAAAGGAAAAGACCCAAAGTTTGAGAAACAAAACAAATCAAAAGCTTCCTTTTTACCTCGTGTTTCCAATTCGCGTGAAGAAAGAGAGAGAGAGAGAGACATTCCTTTTGTTCCCAGATCGCGAGAAGGACTGGTTATCTCTGTTCTTCCCTGTCTCAGCCCTAGTTTCCCAGAAGAAGAAAAAATATAATCTTTCCTCATTTCTTCTCGATTTGCGCTGTAAAGTTTTCAGCTTTGGAGTTTTTGAATCGTTGGGGTTTGAGATTATCATCGTAGTTAGGGCTTTGGCATCGATGGAGCATCTGGTGGGAAACAAGTTTCGGCTCGGACGTAAAATCGGAAGCGGTTCTTTTGGAGAGATCCATCTCGGTTCGTTCGTCTTCTTAGTTATACCTAATTGATCCTTTTACTGTTCAATCTCTTTATTTTCTCAACCCCTTCCTAACATTGTGGTGTTTTCTTTAGGTACTCATATTCAAACCAATGAAGAAGTGGCTATCAAGCTTGTGAGTTCTTGTTTTTTTTTTTTTTTTTTGAAAAAATCTTGTTTTTTTTTTAGCATCATGTGAATGTTTTAACTGAAGATAGAGACAATGTCTCTTGTTTACTATAGTAAAGGACATTGGCTATAGCTTTAAAACATTTACCACGTTACTTGAATTAGATCAATATTGAAGATAGTGTCTAATTTTCTTATGGACTGATTTGTTACTTGCTACAAGTCTAATCTTGTTGTCTTTAATTTTGCTTGCAGGAAAATGCAAAGACAAAACATCCACAGCTGCTCTATGAGTCCAAGTTATACAAACTCCTACAGGGAGGAAGTAAGCACAAACCATTTGTTTTACTCTCTCTTGTAACCATCTCCTTAGTCTCTGATGAACCTTTTAATTCTGGGGGCAGCTGGTGTTCCAAATGTGAAGTGGTTTGGTGTTGAAGGGGACTACAATGTTCTGGTCATGGATTTACTTGGCCCTAGTCTTGAAGACTTGTTTAATTTCTGTAGCAGGAAACTTTCTCTCAAGTCCGTCCTCATGCTTGCTGATCAAATGGTACCATCTGCCTCTCTTGTCCTTTATGCAACTCTTTCTCCTTTAAAGAGACTTGTTTACTGATTTTCATTCTTTTACTGTATTCAGATAAACCGTGTTGAGTATTTCCATTCGAAATCTTTCCTTCACCGAGATCTCAAGCCTGACAATTTCCTCATGGGGCTAGGAAGACGCGCAAACCAGGTTTCCTTTTCACATCCATGTTCGATTTTGTTCTCATTTCACTTTTGAATGTATCTCTGAAGTGACTCCTTATTTTGACTTGCTGTGTCTAAAGGTATACATCATCGACTTTGGTCTTGCTAAGAAGTACAGGGATAACACTACTCATCAGCACATTCCTTACAGGTGACATGATTGTCTTGTAATCACTCTGCTTTTCTTCTTCCTACAGCATAATTCTAACCTCTGCTGCTGTTTTCTTGTCTTGTAGAGAAAATAAGAATCTCACTGGAACTGCAAGATATGCTAGTATGAATACTCACTTGGGAATTGGTAAGCTTTGACAAAAAAAACAACCTGCTGTAGATACTTCTCGTTTCTTATATTAATACCTTTTTGTTTCCTATAATACAGAACAAAGCCGAAGGGATGATCTCGAATCTCTTGGTTACATTCTCATGTATTTCCTTAAAGGAAGGTGAGTCCAATTCCACCTACGTGCCTCCTTGTTTCACTTGCTCTTCTCATTCTTTGATAGAATATTTTTGGTTATTTTTCTAAGTCTACCATGGCAAGGACTTAAAGCAGGAACCAAGAAACAAAAGTATGAGAGAATCAGCGAAAAGAAAGTCTCTACATCCATTGAGGTAAACAAACTTCTCATTCACAAAGTTTTGATTCCTTTGTTCCCAAACTTCTTTTCATTAACAATTTTGCTCATTTTCCTCCAGTCTTTATGCCGTGGCTACCCATCTGAATTCGCATCTTACTTCCATTACTGCCGCTCGCTTCGGTTTGATGACAAACCGGATTACGGTTATCTCAAAAGAATATTCAGAGATCTCTTTATCCGCGAAGGTTTGTTTTTGAAGCTCTCTTTTCTTTCCCCGTTCTTCCAAAATCCGCACTTTCTTACATATTTTCTTTACTGCAGGGTTTCAATTCGATTATGTCTTTGACTGGACCATACTCAAGTACCAACAGTCACAACTGACAGCTCCTCCATCCCGTGGACTTGGCACTCCTGCTGCTGGAACCAGTACGGCTTTGCCTCCAGGATTGACCACCATGGATAGATACGCAGGTGAACATTTTACAATCCAAAAAAGCTTAGAAAAGTTGGGAAGCTTATAGCTTTTTGTTTGATTGTTTTGGTGTTTACTTGAAGGGGAGGAAGATGGACGAAGACCACCGATGGATTCATCAAGAAGGAGAATGTCAGGAGCTCTTGACAACTCTGGCAACTTGTCAACTTCTATTAGAGGCCCTATGGTATGAATGAATTTGCTCTGTTTTTTTCTTGTTTCTCTCTAGACCGAAGAGTTTTAGCAATCTAATAGCTCTTCACTGTTCCAAGTTGTAAAACAGATTCTTTACATTTGGAATGTCAAGTTACTGAGAGAACCACATAAATAGCTTAATTTTTAAAAATCATTTTTTATTGGAACATTGTCATTTTTTAACGAATTTTGGGAAATTGTCATTCTAGGGTCTAGAAAATGTTGATTTCTTTTGAGCAAAAAAAAAAGCTTTTCTTTTTACGTAGCATATTTTAAAAAATTTCAAAAATTGTCTTCATTCCAAATCAATCAAATTTAGTATTTGAATAATTTATTTCAGCTAATTAACCAAACTAATCCCCTGCTTTCAATGGGAAAATGAATTAAGAAAAAAAATAAACCACAAACTACTCCCTTATAAGATCTCATTTTTGTTGGTGGTGTAAATGACCTTTCTTTTCATATTTGATGTATTTTATTTATTTTTTTGTGATGAGATTTTTTTTTTTGTAAATTATTATTCTTGTCTGAAAGTAAATGCTATTATTTCTTTTAAAAGTCAGTAAATATATTTTCACTATGTTTTTAACAGATGCATAGCTCGTCAGTGTTCGCGCAATCCGCAGGATCATCAAGGAGATTAACATCGGAGGAGCAACATAGATCACGTACGAGCGGTGGATTAAAAAACACGTCGGAAGGAAAGAGGTCTGCTTCCACCAGAAAACATTACGACTCTGCGATCAAAGGCATCGAGACTCTTCAAGTCTCCAGCGATAGGTTTCACCACCATTGATGATCCATCTGTTAGAGAGAAATCATGTCAGTTATTGTTCAGAAGTTATTATTTCGCTCTATATTGGTGAAAATTTGCTAGTAATTTTTGTTTTGTTTCTTTATTATTTTGCTTTTTGATCTTTTCTAAATTAATTTTGTTGGGATTTGTTTTGCTTAACTACGATGAAGATTTGAAACCATCGTATAGATGTAGCGTTTAGCAATAGTGAACCAAATTAACGAATCAACTTATCCATTATATTGTTTGTTATAAGCAAACTTGAATAACAATTGCAATATATGCTAAACTTGATTATGTATTCAATACTTTAAGATGTTTAGGTGTGTCTGAGGACTTTAAGTGGTGATTGTATTAAATGAAGACAAATAACAAAGACTATTGATGAGGACTTTTACTGGTGTTTGTATTACATGAAGACAAAATAACAAAGACCACTGATAAAGAAGGTGGGCAAATCAAAATAAATTAAAAAATTTAGAGGGTGCAAAATGCAATAAAGTTAGAATAATAAGATTCTATCCGGCCCCAATAACATCAAACCTCACGCCTTCGTCCTCCCTTATTCCTTCTCCTCTCACAAGAGTTTACTTTACTCCCTCCTCCAACCCTATATCTCCTTGATTCCTAATCCCAGATCTGAAGGCTCTTCCTCCAAGGATCTGATTCTACGAAGAGTCTCCCTCTTCAACCAAAACCAGTGAGTCCTCTTTTTTTTCCTTTGATCGTAATACCGTAAGATCTAAAGCTCGATCTCTCTAGATTCATTGTTTTTATTTCAATCTCCGCGCGATTCGCATGTTAGTTACACATCTCGATGTGACAATTTCAAAAGAATTTAATTGAAATGCATTAATGATTTTTTATGGAACTTAGCTCTTTAATTACTCTGTAGGAAGGAAATGGCAGACAACAATCCACCACCTGAAGAGAACCAAATCACCGCCACAAATGACGACAACACGTCACTCGAAACCATAGTCCGACGCTTCCAAGACTCAATGTCATCACCAGACTCAAAAACCCACAAGTTCTGGGAAACCCAACCCGTTGGCCAATTCAAAGACATCGGCGACACCACCTTACCCGAAGGCCCCATCGAGCCCGCCACGCCCTTATCCGAAGTCAAACAAGAGCCCTACAACCTCCCTTCCGTCTACGAATGGACCACCTGCGACATGAGCACTGACGACATGTGTTCCGAGGTGTACAACCTTCTCAAGAACAACTACGTTGAAGATGACGAAAACATGTTCAGGTTCAATTACTCCAAGGAGTTTCTGAGGTGGGCGTTGCGTCCCCCTGGCTACTACCAGAGCTGGCATATTGGTGTCAGGGCAAAGACTTCCAAGAAGCTTGTGGCTTTCATCAGCGGGGTGCCCGCGAGGATCAGGGTGCGCGATGAGGTTGTTAAGATGGCTGAGATTAATTTCTTGTGTGTTCATAAGAAGCTTAGGTCCAAGAGGCTTGCTCCTGTGATGATCAAGGAGGTTACTAGGAGGGTTCATTTGGAGAATATTTGGCAGGCTGCTTACACTGCAGGCGTTGTGTTGCCTACACCGATCACTACTTGTCAGTACTGGCACAGGTCGTTGAACCCGAAGAAGCTGATCGATGTCGGGTTTTCGAGGCTTGGTGCGAGGATGACGATGAGCAGAACCATCAAGCTTTACAAGCTACCTGAAGCGCCGGTCACTCCTGGGTTCAGGAAAATGGAACTGCTTGATGTCCCTGCGGTTACAAGGTTGCTGAGGAACTACCTTGGCCAGTTTGGAGTGGCGACTGACTTCGATGAGAACGATGTTGAGCATTGGTTACTCCCGAGGGAAGATGTTGTGGACAGTTACTTGGTTGAAAGCCCTGAGACTCATGATGTTACTGATTTTTGCAGCTTCTACACGCTTCCGTCGACTATCCTTGGTAACCCGAACTACACGACGCTGAAAGCTGCTTATTCTTACTACAATGTGGCCACTCAGACGTCGTTTCTTCAGCTGATGAATGATGCGCTGATCGTCTCGAAGCAGAAGGGGTTTGATGTGTTCAACGCGCTGGATGTGATGCACAATGAGAGCTTCTTGAAAGAGTTGAAGTTTGGTCCGGGAGATGGTCAGCTTCACTACTATCTCTATAATTACCGTTTGAAAAGTGCATTGAAGCCATCGGAACTTGGGCTTGTTCTCTTATAAGCGCTCCTCCATAACTTGTTTTTGATGTTATTATTTTGGTGTCAACAAACTTAAAATTTCGTGTTTCTCTTTTTTCTTCTTTTGTTTGAACTATTTATCTCATGGGGTTAACTGAACCTGCGGTTTAATTATTTTGGCAATGCGATTTTGCTTTTTCTAGAAGTCTTATTACCGTTACTTGTGTGGTTAATTGTGTGCATGTCACTTGTCTAAGAGATAAAAAAGAGACTTGACCATGACAGTAAAGTCAACGCAGATATACCGCTAAATCTCGTGAGTTTCAGTGAACAGTGTTACTGATATTTCTAGAGCATGTTAAGATTTTAGTGTTCGTGGCAGTCTTGCAGAGGAGGTAACTGAAATTGGTGAGTCACTTTCTAGAAAAGTCAACAATCTTTAAGAAACTCTAAGCTTAAATAATCTTGGAGACAAGGAAGAAGAATACTGTATGTCATCTATGTTTGGGTTTGTCTTTGAGTACGTTGTTGATGTGAACTCTATGTTTCTTCTTTGTTTGTCATGTCTGTCGTGGATTGTAAGTGAATCACATCTTGTCATCTTGAAGTAGGTTGTTGATGTGAACTTTATGTTTCTTCATGACTACCGTGGCTTGTAAGAGAGTCACATGTCTTAGTGAAGATATTAAAATAGCGAATGGAATTCCTTACAGCTCCAAACTCTGTAACATTTTGAACTAAAAAAAGCTCAAAAAACATTTAAAACACATAGAGAAGTGAGATTTAACTCGGCTCATGCTTTAAACACAAGGCCCGTTAATTACAGCCCATAAGTAACGGACGCAAAAACAATACACGTTGTAGTTTGAATTGCGCTAGCCAATTAAAAACGTACACGTGTCTTTTGTCAAAGAATAAATGTCCTACGCTTCATTACTTAACACCAATCAAAGAAATACACGTGGCGAAAAGAGCCTCCGTGGTTCTAATTCTATCCTTCTTCCTTATCGTCCTCTCGTCTTCAACGCTCTCTTTTCCTCAGCCATCGTGAAACATTTATTGATTACAAAACAAAACAAAAATATTACCAAGGAAAAAAGCAACAATGGTGTGAGATATTTTCGTTTTCGCGCTGAAGATTTTATTTATTATATAATTTCGTTTTCTTTTCTTGAGTAGAATTAAATACTATGGAGTGTGTTGGTGCTCGCAATTTCGCTGCAACGGCGGTCACAGCTTTTCCATCTTGGAGTTCTTCGCGTAGAAACTTTCCGGTGGTTAAGAGATACAGCTTGAAGAGTTTCCGATGCGGTTTGTGCACAGTCAGAGCCAGCGGCGGAGGGGGAGCGGGTTCAGGTTGCGTTGCGGTGAGAGAGGATTACGCCGACGAGGAAGATTACGTCAAAGCTGGTGGTTCGGAGATTCTATACGTTCAAATGCAGCAAACTAAAGACATGGATGAACAGTCTAAGCTTGTTGATAAGGTAAAGTCAACGTTTTCCGTTGACTTGTTTTCTTATATTTGCTTGAGACAGGTCATGTCTGAGTTTTTGAAGCTTTTGTCTAATTGATTGTTTTTTTTTTTTTTTTTAAATTAAAACAGTTACCTCCTATATCAATTGGTGATGGTGCTTTGGACCTAGTGGTTATTGGTTGTGGTCCAGCTGGTTTAGCCTTGGCTGCTGAATCAGCTAGGTTGGGACTAAAAGTTGGACTCATTGGTCCTGATCTTCCTTTCACTAACAACTACGGTGTTTGGGAAGATGAATTCAATGGTGATAACAAAAAGAACTTAATGATTTAGCAGTCAATGTCTTCATGGTCATATTGTAATAAAATATTTTGTGTTGATTGTTTTATTATTCTTTAAAGATCTTGGGCTGCAAAAATGTATTGAGCATGTTTGGAGAGATACTATTGTGTATCTGGATGATGACAATCCTATTACCATCGGTCGTGCTTATGGAAGAGTTAGTCGACGTTTACTTCACGAGGAGCTCTTGAGGAGGTAATGAATAAAATGGTTCCACTCAGACATTTCAATAGTTATTGTTCATCTCCTGACAATTGATTTGATTTATCATAGGTGTGTGGAGTCAGGTGTCTCGTATCTTAGCTCCAAAGTTGAGAGCATAACAGAAGCTCCTGATGGCCTTAGGCTTGTTTCCTGTGAACAGAACATAGTTGTTTCATGCAGGTACTATTCTTAAGTTTAACATAAACGTTTTGGGTAATGGGTACAATGTCAAGATTCTGACATTCTAGCTAATGCAGGCTTGCCACTGTTGCCTCTGGAGCAGCTTCCGGGAAGCTCTTGCAATACGAACTTGGAGGGCCTAGAGTCTGTGTTCAAACTGCATATGGCGTGGAGGTTGAGGTAAATAGTTTGATTATGATAAGTCCAGAGTAATACACATTTTTGGCAAGAAGTTGTATGAATCTCTGTTCAAAAACTTTATAGGTGGAAAGTAGTCCATATGATCCAGAACAGATGGTGTTCATGGATTACAGAGATTACACAAACCAGGAAGCCCGGAGCTTAGAAGCTGAGTATCCAACGTTTCTCTACGCTATGCCTATGACAAAGACAAGAGTCTTCTTTGAGGTTCTCTCGCCTTCTGTTTTAACCATTAACACTAAAACTCTATATTGCTTATCAGCTGGAATCTTCTTTTAGGAGACGTGTCTTGCTTCAAAAGATGTCATGCCCTTTGATTTGCTAAAAAAGAAGCTCATGTTGAGATTAGAAACACTCGGAATCCGAATACTAAAGACTTACGAGGAGGTAAATCTTGTATTAAACAAAAAGAAGTAGAACTTCACTTGATGTCTTAAGCAACAATTAAAAAAAAAAAACTTATTTGGTGGGATAAAACAACAGGAATGGTCTTATATCCCAGTAGGTGGTTCCTTGCCAAACACTGAACAAAAGAGTCTCGCCTTTGGTGCTGCAGCTAGCATGGTACATCCCGCAACAGGTAACAAGAACAAGCCTTGATCACATGCTTGAGTCTGCACCATCTCTGACTTAACTCTCTCTGAATATAACAGGCTATTCAGTTGTGAGATCTTTGTCTGAAGCTCCAAAATACGCGGCAGTCATCGCGGATATACTAAAACATGAGACTACTTCTTCCTTCACTAAACACATCAACAACAATATTTCAAGACAAGGTGAGCTCTATATGAACCACCACTGAGTTCTCATCTTTCAGACAATGTATGAAAACTTGTGAGCTTCTATTCTGTGGCAGCTTGGGATACTCTGTGGCCACCAGAAAGGAAACGACAAAGAGCATTCTTTCTCTTCGGCCTTGCGCTCATAGTTCAACTCGATCTCGAAGGCATTAGATGCTTCTTCCACACTTTTTTCCGCCTTCCAAAATGGTAAAGCCATCCCATCCACTGATTCTTGATTCAGATAACAAACCATGTATGAAAAAAATCAAGAAACTGATGTTTTTGTTTCCTCTTGCTCAGGATGTGGAGAGGGTTTCTAGGATCAACATTAACATCAGGAGACCTCGTTCTGTTTGCTTTCTACATGTTTATCATTGCACCAAACAACTTGAGAAAAGGTCTCATCAATCATCTCGTCTCGGATCCAACCGGAGCAACCATGATTAAAACCTATCTCAGAGTATGATTCTCTCCTCCGCTCTTGGTTTTTGTATATATATTATAATATGAATAATCCATCGACCAGTGTTATGTGGGTTACTAGAAAATTTGTAACAAACATGTATAGGATCTACATGATGATGGAAATACACACAAAAAAAAAGAATTGATTTGTGGTAAATGACTAGAAAGATCAAGAGAAGGATAGACTTGTGTAATTGCCATTTAATTTAAATACCATCCTTCTCGCTGTTACATTAGTGCAAATACTCGTTAATCTGTACACTTCTCCTCCAATTTTATCTATAAAATTATAATCGGAACACTTGGACTATTGCATAGTGAAATATTGCAAGTGGCGTGTGTGTGCCGTCTTAAATCATATACTATTGCAAGAAGTAAAGAACTGAGAGCAAGAATATATTCGTAGCATCACCATAACATAATCTTTATAACAAGCAATATACTCACCTCTTTATAAAAACACTTACTTGGATTTCAATCCCTCACCGTCTCTTTTGATTAGAAGAATCGTGAAAGGGCGTGACGGCGTGTTTCGTGGATGTGTAACCGCCCATCGGTTCATTTGTTACTATAATTTTTTGTTTCTTTGAGCAACTAAAATAATTTCTTAGAAACAATCATAATTTAAAATCATATATTATAATGCTTTTATATTTATAAATTTAAAATGAAGAGAAAGGAGTGGTAAAAGACACACTTAACAGTTGTCAAATGAATTTTTGTTGCATAGTTTTAAGGATTATTTGATTCAACTATGACGAGTCAATAAATACGTGACCAAACCCAAATGGTCTTCTTGATCGAGAAAGAAGTTTCTTGGTGATGATGTCGAACATATTCGACGGAGCTCCTCCGGATTATTCGTCCATATCCGTGGCCGTTAAAGCATCCATCGGCGACACCATTGGAGGAGCTGCAAGCCGTCGCGCTGTTCGTTGGGCCGTCGACAATCTCCTTCCCCATATTGATCGATTAGTTCTAGTTCACGTCATGCCTACCGTCACCACTATTCCATCTCCTTGTAAGTTCCATCTCGTTGACTTCATTTTTCACCTTCATTTTCACCTTTATATTTACCGCAACTTTCGACGTAATTCTTTTTTATTTTTTTTTTCTGTTTGGTTGGAAGCTGGTTCAAAGATTCCAGTGGATGACTTGGAAGAGAGTGTTGTGTCTATGTACAGACAAGATTTGAGAAAACAGTTCGAAGAGGTATTTCTGCCGTTCAAGAGGATGTGCGCATCAGTCAAAGTGAGTTTCTCTTGAATATTCGTAGACGAGTTTTTGAGCTTCATTTTGAGTCTCATGATTTTATTTTTTTTACTGGTTAGGTTGAGACTTTGTTGCTGGAACATGATGATCCTGCAAAGGCGCTTTTGAAGTACATATCAGATGGGGAGGTTGAGTGTTTAGTCATTGGCTCATGCTCTCCAAGTTTCCTTACAAGGTATTGTTTCGATAATGGAGACCATTTTACTTTGCATGACTTTGAAGTTCCCAAAGTCCCGTGTATCCCCTAACCACTAACTAGGGATGTCATTTTAGTTTTTTTGTTACATAAAAAATACTCCCTCCTTCCACAATATAAAATGTTTTGGAGAAGTTTTGATGTTTCAAAATATTAAATGTTTCATAATTTTTAAATATTTTAGTTTTATTGAAAATTGGTTAACCAATTACATTTTACTATATTATTTATGATTGGTTAATTTATGTTTAATTTATATTATTCAATAATATTATCTTTTAAAAAGTAAGTTTTTTAATTTTTGTGTATTCAAACAAAACTATTATATTAAAAAACGGAGTAAGTATCATTTTAGAACTCCAGTATAATTTCAGTTTAATATTAATTATAAATGTGTTGATTTTGTTTCATTTATATCAAATGATATTAGTTGAATAGATGTAATTAATAAGAATTTAAATGTATTTTAATCATTTTTTAATATGTGTCCAAATGATACTTTTTTGAAATAAAAGAAGTATTTAAACTTCTATTAAATGATGCAAGAGTTTTATCCAATAGGCCAACTTCTCCTTGGTCAAACACTTTTTTTTTTGTCTTGGTTTTTATACTTTTGCTAAACATCTCCTGTAATAAAGACATGACGTTTTGGCAGGAAAAAAGGACAAGAGATGCCATCAAGGGTACTAGGAGAAGCTCCAGAGACATGTGAAGTATATGTTATCTCCAAAGATCGAGTAATAACCAAATCAAGCAATCAGTTATCTCCAGGTATATACAATAATTTCAATTTCAGTGATCTATAATGTGAATTTAAGATAATGATTAATCTTGTTTCTGCAGTGAAACTTTCACTAGATTCATCATATAGTTTCCGTACACCCAAAAGAGCAGAAGCTCATAAAGATCCATTCAACCGTACATGCTCGGATAAGACAGGCTTGGCTGCTTCATACATGTCACCATCACTAGCGAGGAATCAGATTCGAAGGCCCGTCTCTTTGCCGCCTAGTCATCAAGTCTCTCGAGTGTTTCCTCCTGCACAGGCTTCAGCTGGTATTCGTTTGACCCATGACGAACAAGTCCGCTCTATACTTGGACAGAGTACTGTTTCCACTAGTAAAATGCAGTTGGATCCTGGAGCAGATACATGTAAAACACCCCAGGTAAAAGCATTTGCTATTTAGTTCTGTTATATGTAAGAAAAATGTTATGATTTTTTTTAAAATCTAAAATACATGTATTCGCAGTCAAGTGTTATGTATGAGGTAGAGCAGCTAAGGAAACAAGTACAAACCACTCTTTCCATGTACAAACAAGCTTGTGAGGAACTAGTTCATAAACAAACACAGGTTAGTGCTACTGTAACTAAATATTGTGTTTTGTCTTTGTTTGAATTTTTAAAACTCAACCAAAAACCAACGTTGGTGATCTACAGGTTCAGTCTCTTTCCTATGAGTGTATCAAAGATACAAAAAGGGTCATATCAGCTCTGGAAAAGGAAGAAATGCTGAGAAAAGAAGCAGAAGAAGAGAAACAAAAGCATCTAAAAGCCGTTAAAGAGATCCAAGAAGCGAAATCAATGCTAGCCAAAGAGTTCTGCGATAGGAAACTAGCCGAACTAAATGCAATTCAGCAGTCCTTAGAGAAACAGCAAGTCATGGACCAGCTCTTCTTGAGAGACAGTCGATACAGAAAGTACACCAAAGAAGAGATAGTTGAAGCTACAGATAACTTCTCTTCGAGTAAAATCATCGGTGAAGGAGGATACGGGAAAGTATACAAATGCAGCCTTGATCACACCCCAGTAGCACTTAAAGTTCTCAACCCTGACTCAATCGAGAAGAAACAAGAATTCTTAAGAGAGGTAAAATCTACTAAGTAATGTTGTTAATGAATAAATGAAAGTCTCACATCCAAAAATAATTAACTAATAAATTAAGATTTAATTAGACCAATCGACTCAATGTCAATTGGTTTTAATAATTAACTAATATATTAAGAGTTAACTAGAGCAATCGTGTCAATTGGTTTTAAGTTGAAGATCATAATTAAACTT